CTTCTGACGTATTATAATAATTAATAAATAATTAGTTACATTTATATAGCACTTTTCAATCATACACTGTTCCTTCGTTGGCCAGAGGAGAACTGGCCCTCCAACTGAGTCTGGTTTCTCCCAACCATTCTGTCACCTGATGGAGTTTTGGTTCCTTGCCACTGTTGCCTTGGCTTTTGGCTTGCTTAGTTGGGGACATTTAATATTCAATAATTCAATAATATATCACCCTGTAGCCCAAGACTGGTTGCCCACTGAAGCTAAGCAGGGCTGAGCCTGGTTAGTACCTGGATGGGAGACCTTCTGAGAAAACCAGGTTGCTGCTGGAAGAGGTGTTAGTGAGGCCAGCAGGGGGTGCTCACCCTGTGGTCTGTGTGGGTCCTAACGCCCCAGTATAGTGACGGGGACACTATACTGTCAAAGAGCACCGTCCTTCAGATGAGACGTTAAACCGAGGTCCTGACTCTCTGTGGTCATTAAAAATCCCAGGATGTCTTTCGAAAGAGTAGGGGTGTAACCCCGGCATCCTGGCCAAATTTGCCCAGTGGCCTCTGTCCATCGTGGCCTCCTAATCATCCCTATATATATATATATATATACACTGATTGGCTTCATCACTCTGTCTCCTCTCCACCAGTAAGCTGGTGTGTGGTGAGCGTTCTGGCGCAATATGGCTGCCGTCGCATCATCCAAGTGGATGCTGCACATTGGTGGTGGTTGAGGAGATTCCCCCTTCCATGTGAAGCGCTTTGAGTGCCTAGAAAAGCGCTATATAAATGTAATGAATTATTATTATTAATAATTAAACGTCCACCTAAGTAAGTAATTGCCTTACTTAGGTGGACGTTGACGCAATTTTCTTTTAGAAACAAACTTTGTTGTATTTTTTCATGTTATCACTGTGAAGCTGCTTTGATACAATCTGTATTGTAAAAACCGCTATATAAATAAAGGTGACTTGACTTGACTTTTCTGGGTACTCAAAGTGCTTTACATGGAAGGGGGAATCTCCTCAACCACCACCAATGTGCAGCATCCACCTGCGACGGCAGCCATATTGCCCCAGAACGCCCACCACACACCAGCTTATTGGCGGAGAGGAGACAGTGATGAAGCCAAACAGTATATGGGGATGATTAGGAGGCCATGATGGACAGAGGCCAAGGGGCAAATCTGGCCAGAATACCAGGGTTACACCCCTACTCTTTTTCGAAGGACATCCTGGGATTTGTAATGACCACAGAGAGTCAGGACCTCGGTTTAACGTCTCATCTGAAGGACGGTGCTCTTTGACAGTATAGTGTCCCCGTCACTATACTGGGGCGTTAGGACCCACACAGACAACAGGGTGAGCACCCCCTGCTAGCCTCACGAACACCTCTTCCAGCAGCAACCTGGTTTTCTCAGGAGGTCTCCCATCCAGGTACTAACCAGGCTCTGCCCTGCTTAGCTTCAGTGGGCAACCAGTCTTGGGCTATAGGGTGATATGGCTGTTGGCAAAAATTAAGTATTAAGGGGATCTTATTAAAGAATTACCGCCCCTAATTTGCACGTTTCCACCCACGGCGCTGCCATTTGGTTTTTGCAAGCGACAGCAGTGAGTGTAATCAGTTCTAACGACACAATGGCAAAAGTTCGAGCAAACTGGTTGCAGACAAGCACAGAACACTATTTGACCAAAAAAAATGTCAAAGCTGTCTTATAAAGACCTCAGGGAACTGTCAACTTGTGTAAAAGTTAAACATGACGGTACATGCAAGTCGATGAGATGAATCAATGCATCTCCACGTCCACAACAGCTACATACATGTATATCCACTAACCATTCAGAAACATCCAATCTAAAAGTTGCAACCTCTTCCTGAGTCTCTCCATAAGGCTGCACTCCGCAACTGGTTATTTCTGAGATTTTGGATGAGTAAGATTATTATCGCGTTTTGTTATTGCCGGAGTACCCGAAGCTTGTGTAAAGGATCGTCCGTCTTCTGAACGGGGGGCGGGGAGCAGCAGGCCATTTGCATTTAAAGGGACACACACAAAAACGGCGAGTTTTTGCTCCCACCCAAAAAGGGGCAAATTTGACAAGCTACAATAAATGATTCGGGTGGTATTTTGAGCTGAAATTTCACAGACACATTCTGGGGACACCATAGATTTATATTACATCTTGTGAAAAGGGGCATAATATGTCACCTTTAAGAATAATAAAGGTTTTACCGCTTCAGAAAGCAAGCAAACTAAAAGTCAATGACTTTGGAAAGAGCAATACTAAAAAGTTCAGGCAAATTCCCCTCCTCCTCCTCTCTTCTCTAAGAGCATTAGAAGTTGGGGTAAAGGACATTTAGACATATTTGATGGGGCTTTGAGCCACACGAAATCCCTGCAGACCAATTCTGGGACAGTTTTTGAATGTTCCGCTTGGTGCAAATATTCAGGTCTGAAGATGGAAAGCAATTACAGGAAAATTGCTTTTCTGTTCTCCTCCGAGTCTGTGCTCTCACCCGGGTGAGTCGAACCAGCACAAAGTGATAGGAACCATTTTCTATTTTACCAGCTGACAAGCTTCTAAGGCACAGACAGCTAAAAAGAAAATAGGAAAAATGGGTGAATAACCTCAGACCGGAGGAACAGCCTCGATAACATGTTCCTATAACTACTCTCTTAGAGTATTACACTACTGAACAGAACTGGCCATGAAAAAACAGATACTTGTAGAGACAATCAGTCATCAGGCTGTCTGAAATAAATGAATAGTGCTCACAGGATCAGTAGGATGCCAGTTGCAGATGCTGCGGCAGTAAATTAACTCACTAGCATGAGTCTAGACTATTAGCCTAAAATGATCAAATGATTACTTCTACTTGGAATTGGAGTTTCTCTTGTTGAAGTGAACTTTTGATTTCCAAGAAGTTTCTTCTGATTTCATTAGTGTGGATCCTGTAAGAAATTATAGTCTGCCTCGACCCAGATTCCACTCCAAAACATATGTTAGAAAGAGCTCATCCCCAAAATGGCTTAATTTTCATGGAGACAGTTTGCTCTGGTCTCAGTTACATGAGATTATTACTACCGGAATGGGATAAAATCAGTTATAGAGAAAGCAGTAGAACGACATCAAGAACCATCCTGTGACAAAGAGTTTGTTTGTGATTACCAATCATAAAGACAGATGTCTTTATGAGTATAATTCTTTCACCCGACCCCTTTGGTGATCACACCTGTAGCAACATCAATGATGTGGGAACGGAAGGAAATCACTTCAATTGTTGTCCTTAATTTACATTTAAAACGAAACCTTGTTTACAAGATGAGAGGGATGACTAGTGTAGAAACAGCATAAAATGTTTGAGCCTGTATTGTTCGGGGTTCATTCCAACTCCGTTGAACCCAAGGTGCTTTGTGTACTTTGTCATTGCTATGCTGCAATAAACTTCTTCATCGAGATCTTCAACGTCCTCATTTATTTTCTTACAAACCCCACAAAAAAAATACACCAATCCCCCTCCCACCATCCTCCCTCCTTTTGGTTGCTTATGAACAGAAACAAACTTAGCGCCATTTACGAAATATCAGTTTGAATTATTTGGAAAAGGGAAGTTATGCGTTTCCTGAAACTGGTGGTTTGCCACCAAGACAGTCAATAACACTGTTTTCATATAAAGGCCATTTCACACCAAGTACGATTAAACGCGATAAAGATATAGTTCTAAAAATCCTTCTAAATATAAAAGAATAGCAGAGTCCACACCAAAACTATAACGATAAAGGCACCGAGGAACTACATTGTTGGAATCACTTTTTAGAAAGATTTTTTTCCCATGCAGTTGATGAACGATAACAACATTGACAGCCAATCAGAATCCATTTTGCTTTAAAGAGCTCTAGCATTTAAAGCAACAGACGACAAACCAGCAGCGCATGCTTAAAATAAACAGAGCGTTATCGTTTGTTGGTGTGGAAACTAATATGGTTATGGTTATCTTTAGTTATCGTTCTTGATTTGAATGGGCCTTAAAGGTCACTCCTACTGGGTTTTAGATCAGCTTCCAAGGAACCATAAGGTCACATCTAATGAGAACAAATTCAAGTGAGCTTTACAGGTAACCAAGCAAATATCTAATGATTACTATTGGTCCATCAGATGCAATCTATGGAATAAATCTATGGTGCCATCAAAAATCAACCACATGGGGATATCTTGGACAGGAACTAACCCAAACATTAAATTCGGCCTTAATTTTCAGGTTTCAGGCAGAGCCTCTTTATTTTGGCCAACTTTTCAATACAATGGCACAGTCTATTATAGCCGTCACAAAATCAAAATTGACCCTTTTTACTTTGTTAGAGCACAATACTAGTCTTGAGAACAATTAATCTGTGCAGGTTAATACAGAGGGAAAAAAATGTTTGTCGTGGTAATCTTTAATCAAAATCTGAAAATTTGTTTCCGCTCTGGAATGGCGTTCCTTCTCTGATGATGTCAATTTGACGGCTTGGGTTGAATATCCTTTGCCACTTCCCTCCATCTGTCAGTCTGCTATGAGCGAAGGTGCGCTAAAGTAAAACCCTGTCCTCTATTCAATATTCTGTGTCACTTGAAAATAAGTCACAACAATAAAGTAAAGTCGGTTGCAACTTCTTGGGGACTTTAAAGCAAGATCATGGAGCAGTTTCCTGTGGTGTAAAACTATTTTCTGAAACTAATTTAAACTACTAAATCTTTTTTTAGATTTATCCTCTAAAACTTGTCTAACTATATAACATCTAATTAATAAAAAAATATTTGATTTAAAAGTGGAGAAATAAGGAAAGAGTGCCTAAAATGTACCATATAGTAATATTAATATAAAATAATATTAAAATTGTATCTTGACCCAAGGTATTGTTTTATATCCATATATTGGGAACGGAAGCATATACAAAGAAATATGATTGTGCTTTAGTTTAGAGAATATGGTCTGGTGATTTCATTGCACAATCATTATGATAAACATGCTCACTTGAGTTTGGCTGAAGAAAGAGGAGTTGGAGGAAACATTCCTGGCTCAAAGGAGTCAAAGTAGGTTAGGGTCCAGGAGAAACTGCAACACAGAACTCCAGCCACAGAAGACAGGACCAAAATACTCCAAAAACCTGCAGGGGGAAAAAAAGTAGCCTATGTTACCAAAGCTTACACGCAGCTAATATCGTTTTTTTTTTATATTAGCCTATGTAATACACTATGTGCTATTTGGACCTACCCAGGAGTCTTACTTCTGATCCATCTTCAATGGTTATCCTCTCAGCTCTTAAATCTACAGATCAGAGAATTATTAATTATCAATATGCCATTTAGGTATTGCACATAAGTTACTGGAACTGCAAGAGAAGAATTCCAAGAAACAGATATGAAAGTGTTTACCTTTTAATATGATGTACAAGAATGAGATCAGCACAGCGATAAACGAGACGATGACTATGCTGCATAGCACAGAGAATATACGAGCGGGCCACAGGTGTGTGTCTTTCCAGTACCGCTGGCGTACGGGGAGCCGCCCAGGAGCTGCCCTGCCGTTCACGCTGCTCTCAGGTGAAGCTTCATTTACTTCACCCAAAGGGGTTCTTCTTCCGGTTAATGCAGTATTATCTTCATCTTCAGAATAAATGTCTAAAGACGGGACATCTTTATTTCTGGAAGACCGTAGCATGGTCGCCAGGAAAAACGTTTCTAAAGTTGAAATTGTTGGTTCGTGACTCACATCCTGCCTCCTTAGTTTGCGCGTTTCCGTTTCCTAGACAACACGGAAAACTGGCTTATAAACTACATGTACCCACTTTTCATATTATTAATTACACTCGGTTTGTACATGCATGTTACGTGCGTTTTATACAGGTCAACTGACAAAAACAATTGATTAAAGGGGATTTGGATTAAGACGATGTGTATTAATTTGAAAAGTATCAAATGGTAAAGAGTTTCAAAACATCGCGGTTTGTGCTTCCGTATTTGTGAAGCACCGCCTTTATTGTCGTGTTGTCCAATCGTAATTGACAATCCATGCAATACGACCATACGATTGGATGCAATGAACGTCATTCAAGAAAATTAACCATCTCACACATTGTAAATCTTTAGCAAAGATAACTATTTTAATTCAGACGGATAGGTGTTAATCCTGGTCTGCTTGACTATGATATTTAAAACGTCTTGCTTTATTGCTTCCAGACTCCAGTGTTGTGTTTTATTTGCAAAAAAAGTTGACAGCTATTCCAAAAAGACAGCAAAAAAGTTTACTGCAGGCGAAGCTGTAACTGCTGTCAATATTGTACAGCCCAAAAGAATCTAAAAGATTTAACACTCCTGAACCTGAAGGCATAATGAGGTCTTTATCTGAAGAGATGAGGAAGATTTTTGTTAAACTAATTAGGCTACTGAAATATTACTTACACGAATAGGCTACATGAAATTCTTGGCTCGTTTAGACTACTTGTATCATTTTTTTCTTACAGAAAAATAACTGCAGGAAACAGCTATTAATATTTCAAGTTAACTACCATCTAGACATTTTTCTTTCAGTAATATTGTGCTATAATAAGTATAGCCTGTTCATTTAGGATAAATATGTTAAATCAGGGGTTTCAAAGTGGGGCTGCAAGGGGTCCGTCCGTGGAAATGTTTAGAGAAAAATAGCATAAAAAAATTATAATTCAATTAAAATAAGCAAACAAATAAGCAAATAACCAAATAATGCATGCATCTATGTATTAATTTACTAACAAAATATTTCCCAAATAATATTGACATTTATAATATTAATTTTCACAATATAAATTAGAAAATAGGCCTTTACACAAGAAACTAAATAGATGCTTTTTAAAAAATTTCGGATAGTGGCCCCTTGCACAACGATGATCATAATATTATTTTGGTGGTCGTGGCATCTTAAAGATTGAAAACCCCTGTGCTAAATTATTTATAACTTGACTGCTCTTTTCTGCTAAATTTCAGTGTCTCTAAGCAACTATCTATTGTATTCATCATTTCTTGTTTTTTGGTTCTTTCATGGAACACTTCTTCAGCACTCTTAAAGCTTCTGACAGTTGGGAGGTCTGCCCACACGTCCTCCGTAGCGTGAGGAGCTGCCAACTTTGATCTTTCTCCTCTTTACTTCTGCATCATGGACCGGTCCCCAACATTTTGTGATGTCCATTAACCAGAAGACAGTATAGGTATCCCACTGTGACCTGGTGGAACTGGTGAATTGAAGTCATTGAAAATGAGATGAGACATATTGCATTATCTAATTTTCTTTATGTACATTCATTTTTAAATAAAGCATTGTCACATATTTGAAATTAAGGGTCTAAGTTTCAGTGTTAAAGTATTTTGAAGAATTACTGGCTACACTCTTAAAAATGGTTTTATTTTGAATTCATTGAAAGTCTTTGGGATGTGCTGGAGGAGTCTTTACACAGTGCTGGACTCTTGCATCGTCAACACAAGATCTTGACCAAAAATGAATGCACCTCTTGATGTAAATAAATGTTGTGATGTTATTATTTCCATCAAGAGGTGCATCAAATATTGGTCAAGCTCTTGTATTGACAATGCAAGAGTCCAGCACTCTGTAAAGTCTCCTCCAGCACACCCCAAAGACTTTCAATGAAGTTAAGAAGAGGTGCCAATTCATGTGTGAAAATGATTCTTCATGCCAACCATTCTTTCACAACCTGAGCCTGATGAATAATGACAATTTCATCCTGGAATATGGCCATGATGCGTCTTCTTACATGGTTGTTTAAGAAATGAAAAGCTACACACTCCATCAATTAGGGTTAGAAGAGCCGTTGCCAAACATAACATGCTAGAAACAATCACTGCAATAATGATCCAATCATACACTCTTAAGCCTATTTAAATCCATACAGCCATTCTTTTTCTTTTTTTGGTCGGGCAGTGTATAACGTAATAGTACTGACATTTTGTGTATTATTTGCATTTTAATTATTGCAGACCACAGCAAAGGGTTAATTTAAGTATAAAACCTAAATTTACTCCACATAAATGTACTATGATTGAATTTTTATGACTTTTTCGACAGAGAGCTAAACATCATTTATGGGATCTTGTTTAAATAAATCAGTAACTGTAATCTGGCCATGTTTAATTGTACAAAAGCCAGTTCCACAGACCAGGCGCCACAAGGGACCGCTAAGATCCTGGCACACAAGGGGTTGCTACCACCTTGTGGCAGAATTAGGTTACCACTGCCCACACCACATTTTATTTTCAAGAAGCTCCAATATCACATGTATCCTTGAGCATTCTCATGTCAATTCAGATAAAAACCGCAAGAATTCACATGAACATTTCACGTCGACCACACAAAAGAACCACTGTTTTTAACGGTGCTGGTGTCTTTGCTTTATTTGCACACAACCACTGATTCCAGTTAAAGAGATCAAAGTAGAAAAACGTTATATGTGCCACTAGTGTCAGTTCAAGCTTTCAAGTGTTACGTGCAACCACAGACATTTACCATATGCAACAATAGTGATGAGAGAGCAATTCAGGTCACGGAGTAAGTTGATTCACGGTCTTTACCATCGAATTAAATAATACTGTCATACTAAACAACATAAAAAGTTAATACCATTCCAGTGATATTGCAGGACAAGTTGGTTTGTTTCAACAATATGTACAGCACCACAATGAATGAACAATGTAAAAAATAAGAGGCTCAATTTTGTAGCAAAATATCTGTACATTTAAAAAAAAGACTTATTGTCCAATGAAATGTCTTTTCTTTTTTTTTTAAAAAAACAGCAAACTCTTTTTTTTTCACAGCTCACAAATGCCACATGAGATAAAACCAATAGGAGAGCAGGTCTGTGATGAAAAATGAGATGTATTGTACATAAAATGTCAAACTGGTTGTGGATGTTTGGTAGTAAACATTTTCTCAACGTTTCATGGGTTTTTAGTCAGTAAAGAAGAGTCTTCCTCAACAGCAGTTAGAAGTTCTCCTTCGCGTTCTTCATCCAAATTTTTTTTTTAAATCAAAAGTTCAGCTTTAAGATGAGCCAGGTTCAATGCTAAAAAATAAAATAAAAATAAAAGTGCATCTTGTAAATCTTCCCCTCAGAAAAAGCTGCTTAGCTTGGAGTTTTTAAAACAAGAGGTAAAAAAGACACAAGTGGGCCAAACCAAAGTCTTTTCGCCATTTCTGCTGCTCCTTGTATGTAATACACAACGTCTCAAAGTTAAACAGAGCGAAACATAAAATACCGCACTACCTCATCTTCCTTCACAATGTCCATTTGTAGAACCTACACCATTTGACTGTAGGTCTGACATATGGCATCAAACCTTACTTTCTTTAAAAGAGATTCCAGGTTCCAGGTAAGCAGAAGTATTAAATGTCACATCCTTCCATTGTCCTAAGTGTGCTATTTTTTGCTCTTTTTTCAGTAGTGTCATTGGCCCACCCTCTGTCCTCAAATGCTGGCTAGCAGGTGGTGATCTCCATGTTGCGTAGCTGAAGGTGCTGAACCTCCATGTTCCTTCTCCCACTCCTCCTCAGGGCATCGGCCCGTCGGAAGGGTTGACTGCGCAGGTCTGAAGACAAACAGGTAAAGCGTTATACACTGAACACAACTAGAGTCTGGATGAGGTCTATGGATGAGACGGGGCCAAAGATGGGTGCAAAACAGACAGGTATGTGGATGTTTGGTTAGTTTTAGATCAATTTAATAGGAATGCACAATATTCCGGTACCATAAACGGTTATTTTCCGATATTAACGTTTTTTTTTAATTATTGGTATTGATTGATGATGGATATAATGGTTGATATCGAAACATATTGAGCATACTTGTATTATTTTTACATTTACAGACAATTTTATACCTAAATTCTAAATTTATTTAGACAAAAATGGGATGGAATTTTCTAATATTGGCCATTTATAAGTATCAGTTGATATTAGATATAATGGCCAATATTGAATATTTAATTGTCCATACTCTCGTAAATAATCTCGTAAAACTTTACAACAAGGTCTCATTTGTTATCATTAGTTAATGTATTAAATAACATGAACTAACTATGAGCAATACATTTATTAATCTTTGTTAATGTTATTTAATAAAAAATAGTCATTCATTTTGTGTTCACAATGCATTAATGTTAACAAATCCAACTTTTCATGTTAATCAATGAATTAGTAAATGTTGAAATTAACATTAAGATGAATAAATGCTGTAGAAGTATTGTTCTTTCTTAGTTCATATTAACTAAAGTAGCTAACTATCGTTAACTAATGAAACCTTATTGTAATGTGTTACTGTTAATCTTTACAAAATACTAATAATTTATTAATACTGTCTAATGCCATCTTTAGCAAATAATATTCATTCTTCATAATGTACATTTTAATGTTGTGATGCATAAATGCCTTGAAGCATTTAAAATGACAGATTTTAGTTTGATTAATTATTTTTTACATTTATTTAAACAAAATAGAATATATTATTGTAATATTGGCCATTTATCGGTCTCCAACATTTATTGGTATCGGTTAATATTGGATAGCCAATATTGAATATTTAACTGCATACTCATTTTCCTATTTTAACATGAAGGTTATGCAAAACAATAATTTAACAACACTGTTAAATGTAATCTTTAGCAAATAAAAAAAATTAAAATGAATATTCATTCTTCATACTGTATATTATAATATGATGATAATATGACACAATTGCGAGTTTATATCACGCAAGTTAAAAAGTCAGTCATTTTAAATGCTCCAAGTCAATTTCGGCATCATATTATAATGTACAGTACTATGAAGAATGAATATTCATTTTAATTTTTTATTCTGTGGCGGAAACAAGCTTCCATAGTTATTAACAACAACATAGAAATATCTTTGGCTAATATCAGCCAGAATTGTAATATGGGTGCATCCCTACAATTGAGATCTTTCTGTTAAGTCATGATATGTTCCAGGAAGTTTCCAAGACAAATGTTGTTTAAAATTGTATTACAACTACTCAATGGGAGGGGAAACTTCAAGACATTTTTTAAATCTGTGACAAATACCTAAATAGTGTACAGGAAACGAAATGCCAAATGGTGGAAGTGTTAAAGGCAGGCAGGCATGCATTTTGGTCCTACTACTATGTACTAACATTGAAATTAATCACTTGATACAATGCACTCATTGTGTACATATATGTTTTAACTTTGTACTTATTTTTTTTTAAAAGACCTGCATGTAATTGCAGCTGTAATTAATTTATAATTTATATACACAGTTGACCTGGCCCTTTCACGTTAAACCTAACCGTACCACCAAACCTGTCCATAACCTCAAATTACAGTAAAATTTTGCAATACAGTATGAACAATAATTACATTGTACCCAACAATTTTTTTTAGATGCAAGTACATAGTAGTTAAAGACACCTAATATAAAGTGTGACCAGCATTATGCTGAGAATTCATACTGAATTGAATACCCAAATATACCCAGATGAATAGTAAACGAATGAAGAAATAGACAGAAAGAAGGATGGCTAGGAGATGAGCGAATAAGAGACGGACTTAAAGGCACCTTGCTGAGGGGAGAGAATTTAGTTTAGTAATGGAAGTCCTCGGAGAGGGCGGGATCACAGAAGAACCGCGAGCCACGTTTGGCTGATCGTGCGGTAAAGGGGACGGTCTTCAGCACTGCAGCAAAATAATAGCCAATCACAACATAGAAACACCAAAAGCAAGAAGCTCTAAAAAAGCACAGAATCAGACAGAAACTTCAAGCCTAAAGCTAAACAAGCTTGGCATCTACTGCTACAGTACGTCTACTGTTACTAACAAAAAGAGCAAGACCAATACACACTTAGGGAAACAGATTCATTCATCATACGTACAATCAAATGAATCGGAGTTTTGCATCCAGTAGCGTACTTACCCGTAATGATGTCCTCAATGGCTCCGTCTTTGCCTTCGTAGACGAGGCGGCTATCTTTGCCTTGCCTCTTCCTTAACTCTGTGATCAGCTCCTGCTGTTGCCGCTTGCCCTTGTGAGATGGCGACTGGTGATTGAGAGAGTTAATAAGGGAAAGAATATGCAGTCATTGCACAGAGTTTTACTGTAATCCAGACCTGTAAACTCCTCAGAGTAAAAAAGGAGACAAGTGTCGCGCGGGGGTGGGGGGCTTTGGGTACCCGGCTAACGATAAGCCTAGCTAACGTTACAGGGATATTCCACCATTTGGGAAATTAAGCTAATTTTCCACCTCCCCTCGAATTGTTTTTTACCGTTTTGGAAACCATTCAGCTGATCTCCGGGTCTGGCGGTACCACTTTTAGCATAGCTTAACGTAATTTATAGGTATGACGACAATACTAGGGGTGGAACGGTACACAGAAGTCACGGTTCGGTTCATACATCACAGTTCGGTACGATGGAGTGAAAAGCAAAACAAAAACATAGAAGGCATTTTTATAAATGTCTTAAGCCTTGAATTTTTATTAATAAAGGCTTAGAACCAGTTTATTTGTACTGCACTGACAATAGTTTTATACAATTAGTTTATTAATTAAATTAATAAAAAGACAAAAAGACCTTGAGATATGTTTGGTAATTGTACCTGAATGAATTTAAAATGAATTTGCTATATTTCAGATCAATATATTTGTTTTCCTTAATTTTAATTAACCCCAACTTTATTCTCATCTGAATTATAAATAATTGATTTCCGTATAAAATAATACTATCATCAAAAAAGAATGTGCAACTTAAAAATAAACAGATTAGAGCTCTGTTTGAGGACAAGAAAAAAAAACCAATGCGATATGATGAATGTCCAAAAAATGGAACCCACAGACTGTTTTGAAATGGGGTTGCTTTTAAAACTGTGTGTGTGTTTTTGGTTGGGTGACAGTTGTAGGTTTCAGTTTGACAAGAGTTTATAGTTTGACAAAAGCACAATGTTGTATTTTATTGCGAGTGTACACAAATAAGTAAACACTTTGCAGTTTGAATGATGTCCTCTATTAACAAAATTACGGAGTATGTTTTTATGTTTCCACTGTTCGATCGCGCCCGCGCCTCTCACACTCTTTCACACACACACACACACACACACACACACACACACACACACACACACACACACACACACACACACACACACACACACACACACACACACACACACACACACACACACTCCAGTGTTGCAATCTTGACATCGCAGCCTGTTCATTATGCTGCGTTCACACCAAACGTGAATAGAGGGAAATTTATCGCTATCTAGAGTTTTATTTCCGTTCCACCCCTAGACAATACAATATTATTGTAAATTATATCACATAAAAAGCGGTAGCTAACGTCAATTGAATCAAGCAAATAAATAGCTTTTGTTTTTGCTCCAAAAAGCTTGACTTACCTCGAATTTAACAAAAGATTCCTACACGTTATGAGTTTCCATCAGACTCGCGTGCTGTCTCATCCAATGGCGAGCTCAGTAGACGCTGTGTGCTTCAAGATTCTAACGCAAGTGCTAAGATTCCGATTGGCCAAGAGAAAAAGTGCTAAGATTCCGATTGGCCCAGAGAAATGTCAATTATAAGAATTATCCAATAATGTTTCTCAATTCTAGCCTGCATAGCATGCAGATGAAGGGCAGCCTACCCCAACCCCCCCCCCCAAAAAAACTCTCCGGTTCAACGCGATTCACGTAAATGACCCAAACGGCGATTGTCGCCGAAAAGCGACAAGTTTGCAGGTCTGGTAATCTTCCCACTTAACAATATTCCTTTAATGTATACTTTAGGGCTCACTTGTAAAGCCAAAGTTAATTTTTTATTCATACGCTAGGGTCCGTGTGATGCGAATTTCGTCATCAGCAAAGCATTCGCATACATCCTGATTTTTTTTTTTTTTCGCTAATTTGTTTGTCCACAAGGTGGCAACAGTGCCCTGGGTATTCACAGGGTAGTCGAAGAAAAAACAATAAATGGAAAACGCGACAGAAACGCGTGCAAGCTACAACAACAATTCATGGATTGAATTCAACTCAAGCTTAAAAGATGATAAAGATGTGCGCATGGGTTAGAACTTGTGGCGAGAGATACAAAACATTCTGTTGACAGAGTGCAAGTTGTCGTAATGCACATGCGATAACTGCCTGTGTACATATACGTACGCGTCAAAGTTAAAGGCTATGCGTACAACAGTGCATGTACACAAAAAAACGAAGTACACTTTGGGCTAATGGCTCTCATTTATGACTTCAACATGATACCTGTTGATGATCTTGCTCCTCCATCAAGGCCTCCTGTTCCAGAAGTTTCTCCATCATCAGCTGCTCCTGCCTCTTCTTTTGCTCATTCTCTTCATTCGCTTGCTGAAAAAAACAAAACACAAATTAGATCTGGGCCCTGTTTGAACCAGAAGGAAGTTGGTGCACTGATAGTATAAGGTCTCACCCTATAGGACTTGATGAAGCGAACAAACACAGGGAAGAACACAGAGGGTGGCATGGTCTTTGCGCTCTCCCCAAAGAACTTGACAACATCGTCATAAGCATCCTGTAAAAACATTTAAGTCACATAATCATGTGCATCCATTTCATTATCCGTATCAAACCAACAACCTTACCGTTCCCAGCGCAGACTTTTTTAAAACCACAACACCCTATAGAAAGGTTCTTTTTTTTCTACCTGTGCAATTCTAGCATCATCCAGAAGCTTCTTAAGCCTGGCCTCATTGTGATGGATGAAATCTTTGAGGAGGGAGTTGTGGCCATGCATGCTGAACTCTCTTCTGGTCAGTTCCAGACCTCTCTGTAGCTCCTTCACATCCAAGAGAACATTCTCCAGAGAGACTGCAACATGGGATTAATGAGGACAAACAAACTTACAGAAGCTTATTAAGGCACAACAAATCTGTTTTTAGATTTCTTTCTGTAAAGTGAGACCTTTTTGATTGCATTTATTTTTAGTATATTTATACGATTATAGTATTTAAGATTTTGAATTAGTTTTCAATTTTATACTTTGTTTTCATTTGAATTTTTGTTCATTTATTTCAGTTTGTTGTCGAGGCAATTTTATTTTATTTCAATTAATAATTTAGTTAAAAATTATAAATGTTCAATTAATAGCTCAGTTTTAATTAACAACAAGGCTGATTTAGAAGTATAATTACCCTTTTTAATTAGTAGATTTCAAATATATTTTAAAGGGGCGAATGACGCTTACCTGCAGCAGCTTTCTCAATGTAGTGCAGCTCATTGTAGAAAATGCTCACAATAGGATATTTCTCCTTCACCACATTGGCTATGTAGTGCAAAAGCGTCAGTTTCCTGTCTGTGGACTTAGTCTCCAACAGCTGAAGGCAAGATACATTACAGTATTATAATTAAACTGAATAATGTTTCAGAAAAAAAGGGTTATGAGATGTAATAAGTTACCAGATCCAAGCTCTGAAGTTTAAAGCCATAAACAGCTCCTCTCTTACTACTGTTCATATAATTCCCCAGGGCCAAAATGATCTGAGATGAGAGAGATCACATAATTAATTACAAGCAAGACTGTAAAATGGCAAGAGACTCTGTGATGTTCGAGTTTTAGTGGCTTACCTCAAGGATTTTCTTTAACTTCTGTGATGATTTTATGGATACGGATGCTGCTATGATAGCATGAAGTTGCTGTAGGAAAAACAGCGACAGCAAAAGACAATTTTTATAAATGCATTTCAGTTTTTCAGAATCATTTTAGATATTCAAAACAGTGTCACATCATTCAGTTTCACCATTTTTTGTTCCTCTATTTCTCTATCCACTTTACCGGTGTGAGCATTTGCAGGCTATCACTGTAGTTGCCCATGAAGGCCATGATGGTCATCCGCTGTGGCAGCCTTTCGATCTTGCTGAAGAGCATCATGAACCGGTCCTCATCAGTGAGCCCGTCCATTGGCCGTCGCTCCCGCTCATACTGGCGGAGCACCTTCACCTCAGTTTCAGTGGGCATGAACCGCATCATACACTCCACGAAATCCACAGGCAATGTACGTAGGTCAAACCTGAGCGGATGAGAAACTGATCAGTACTATTCAAAAAAACAAATCCCAAAAACAATTACCTGTTGCATGAAACTGGTTTCAGTTGCTACCCAAGTAAGTTTGACCTAACCCTGGTTTTTCTGGCTCAATAAGGTTAATTGGTTTGTAGCAGGTTTCAGCACCATTGTAATTTACGCTACATGGCTAACCTTCTCCAGAGTAAATTTTATTCTGGGTTAGAGATCGCAGACCAAAACTGGACCAATCAGCTGTGAGTATCTGGGCAATAAAGCCACTCCCCCTGCATCTCTGAATCTGCTCCAAATTAAATCAGTTGAATTAAATTGCCCATCTTTTGCTGCTAATTATTTATTATATTATATGAATTGTAATTATGTATTATTCATGTAATATAATTATTCATTTTTAATTAATATAATATTAAACTTTGATTTCAAAAGGTACACTATGTAACTTTTGGCGCTCTTGCGTTTAATAATTAAAACTGCATGCCTCCTGCTGAAAAACATTGTAGCCGGAGCTACTTTTATGTCTATGATGACTCACGCAGATACTGTGATACTCCGCAGCTGTTGTCGTCCCGCCTGGTCAAAAATAGTCTGAATATTAACATTTATTATAGGCGTTCCATAGAGATTCAGGATAAGACAAAAACACAGTTTGGAAGATGGATTCACGATGTACTAGATTTTAATACAAATTGAGGAAAAAAATGAGTGCATCTTTAAATTAATATGAATATATATATATACACTGTGTGTGTGTATATATATATATATATATATATATATATATATATATATATATATACATACATACACACACACACACACACACAGTATATATACACTCACCTAAAGTATTATTAGGAACACCATACTAATACTGTGTTTGACCCCCTTTCGCCTCCAGAACTGCCTTAATTCTACGTGGCATTGATTCAACAAGGTGCTGAAAGCATTCTTTAGAAATGTTGGCCCATATTGATAGGATAGCATCTTGCAATTGATGGAGATTTGTGGGATGCACATCCAGGGCACGAAGCTCCCGTTCCACCACATCCCAAAGATGCTCTATTGGGTTGAGATCTGGTGACTGTGGGGGCCATTTTAGTACAGTGAACTCATTGTCATGTTCAAGAAACCAATTTGAAATGATTTGAGCTTTGTGACATGGTGCATCATCCTGCTGGAAGTAGCCATCAGAGTGGTGGCCATAAAGGGATGGACATGGTCAGAAACAATGCTCAGGTCTGCCGTGGCATTTAAACAATGCCCAATTGGCACTAAGGGGCCTAAAGTGTGCCAAGAAAACATCCCCCACACCATTACACCACCACCACCAGCCTGCACAGTGGTAACAAGGCATGATGGATCCATGTTCTCATTCTGTTTACACCAAATTCTGACTCTACCATCTAAATGACTCAACAGAAATCGAGACTCATCAGACCAGGCAACATTTTTCCAGTCTTCAACTGTCCAATTTTGGTGAGCTCTTGCAAATTGTAGCCTCTTTTTCCTATTTGTAGTGGAGATGAGTGATACCCGGTGGGGTCTTCTGCTGTTGTAGCCCATCCGCCTCAAGGTTGTGCGTGTTGTGGCTACACAAATGCTTTGCTGCATACCTCGGTTGTAACGAGTGGTTATTTCAGTCAAAGTTGCTCTTCTATCAGCTTGAATCAGTCGGCCCATTCTCCTCTGACCTCTAGCATCAACAAGGCATTTTCGCCCACAGGACTGGCGCATACTGGATGTTTTTCCCTTATCACACCATTCATTGTAAACCCTAGAAATGGTTGTGCGTGAAAATCCCAGTAACTGAGCAGATTGTGAAATACTCAGACCGGCCCGTCTGGCACCAACAACCATGCCACGCTCAAAATTGCTTAAATCACCTTTCTTTCCCATTCTGACATTCAGTTTGGAGTTCAGGAGATTGTCTTGACCAGGACCACACCCCTAAATGCATTGAAGTAACTGCCATGTGATTAGTTGATTAGATAATTGCATTAATGAGAAATTGAACAGGTGTTCCTAATAATCCTTTAGGTGAGTGTATATAAATGCAAGCTTTATATATGCAGAATGGGTAAGAACGCTAGTAGTAGTAATACTTTATTAATCCCCAAGGGGAAATTCTTTGTCACAATTGCCCACATATATAATAAACAACAATAAAGATTATAAAAACATTTCCGTTATTTGGATTTGTTATAATAAATATATTCATTAAATCTAATGTTCCAGTGAACAGGGGGATAAATAACAACGAGAATATTACCCATTAATTTAAATAAAAAAAAAAAACAGATCAGATTAAACAAATAATGTTGCACAGCAACCAAAATATTAACAATTTAAAAACTTCAAAACTTCAACGTAAGCTTATTCTGCTATAAACAGAATAAGCTTACGTGTATTCTTTTGAGCTAATATAAATTATAAGGCCTATTTGTTTGATTCACTTGCATTGATCTAGTCAGATATTTTTTTTCAGCTGCCTTCTCAAACTTTCACTGCAGCAGCAGTGTTTATTCCTGCTTTGTAAATGTATTTAATTTCATGATATTTTTCCTAATGATCTCTTAATCTCAGCGCAGAAGTGAATTGCGCCAGCTCTCTCGCGAGAAGTGAATCAAACTGACGCTCTCCATGTTTTGTGTGATTGGCTTTCAGGTGCACGTGCTTCAGAGTTAAATCGCAAACTCTGGATTAAACCTGAGTTGACAGAGACCGCTTATACCGAGCGTTGTGAGCCCGTTGAACCTGATCCAAACCAGGCTGGATTTATTTGAATTTGTCAACTCTAAACTTACCCTGAAACTCAGAGTTTGTGCAACAGGCATTAAAGCAAACCACCAAACCAAACACAGCTGATACAAGATACAGGAGCTGAACTGTGGAATGAACAGCAGGTTACAGCCTAAAAAGAAGATGCCGAAGACCACGGTGAGCGCGAGAACTGACTGCCGCTCTATTAAGCAGATAAACACGAACAATCCCGCAGTTGTAAACACCATCTCACAGAAAATATGGTTCATCTTTATCTTGAGATTTGAGGCAAAGGGGAACTTACGTCTGGATTGCTTTGCAGATCTCCTCCGGGCTCTTCCCTGCCTTGCGGAGTGTGATGGCGAGGTTTTTGGCTCTGTTGGCCTCCAGAAGAGATACTTTATTGGGGCCCTTTTGAGGAGCCTTCTGCTTTTGCATCGTCATGTCAACAGCAGGGCCCTGGGCTTTGGTCTTAAACATTTCCTCAAACTCATCCACGTTCAAATCCTACAAACCAAAGCATTCTATTAAAGAGCTGTCCACAGCACTCCTTGGATGGACCCACCAAAAATGCAAACCTCATGAAAGTCAACACAGAAAAAAGAAATTGACTGCAAGGACGTTCCCTGATTCACTGTGCCAGTTATTTCAAATAAAAATGTTTCAATATTTTATCAAAATGTACTTGCTCCGCCTCTAAAATGACTCCAAGCACCAATTCTTATTTTACTAAATAAAATCCCCATTAAACCTACTGTTTCACCTGGAAATTCGTCAGATTATTGAAGTACATCAAGTTGCGAAAGGCATTTTAGTAAGTCGTTGTTTGTCATTTCAGTGGCAATGGTTAAAGAATGTACTTTTAAAAAACGAGTTGAAACTAAACTGAGCATCTACCTATTATTTAGAAGTAACTCAAACAGAAATATGATACTGAAGTGGTATAATACATGCAGAGTTGATAGAGATTACACTTTTTACACATAAAGTGCTGTAGACAAATACCTCCAAGATCCTCTCATCATCGATTTCATTGAAGACAGTGCCGTTGATCTGATTTGGTTTCAGAGCCACCCAATTGAACACCGGCAAGCGGAACTTGGTTTTGATTGGCTTTTTAATTTTCACAGCTGCCAAGGAAGAAAAGAGGCCTGTGACTACCCAAGCATCTACTAACTATTCAATGAGATTAAAAATGAACGCAATCACAAGCATGGATGATAACATGTTAAGCAAAGACACACAACACACAATATGACTAGGGATGCAGCGAAATGAAAATTCTGGGCCGAAACCGAAAATTCTGGATGCACTTGGCCGAAAAACGAAACTAAAAATGTATTTCTTATTTTTTGTATAATTGTATTATTGTTAGACTTTTAAATTAAATGCAATCATTTGACTGAATCTAAAGAAAAAAAAACTACAAGCCAATAAAATAAATTGATTTAAAGTTACACAAAATTGAAAGAAAATAGCCCTATATTAAAATAATATTAAATATCAATATATTATTCTTCATTCAGTTCTATGCAACATAATCAGATTTTTGACCAATTATCAAAATAAAGTACAGTCCTACAGAGCTATTATTATCAGAGCATGTGAACAGATAGCAGGGAGCGGATCAGAGGGTAGCGTCACTTTACCAGCGTTGCCCAGCATGTTACAGCATATTTTTACTGGGCTATTGCAAACAGAAACAAGTTTACTACAGATAATTTTCATGTCGGCACGTTATTTGAGCGGACTTTTTGAGTGTGATTTGTACATGAGTGGAGTTTTTGGGCCGTGAGCAACAGAGCAGAGAGCGCAGCACACACACACACACACACACGGAACGGAAAAGCGGAGCCGCTCGCAAAGTTACGAAACATGCTGACCGCTGAATACGGAGGGGCGGGGCGGCATATTTTCGGGCTTTTTTCTCTTTTGGCCAAAAAAACGAAAATGCCATTTTCGGCCGATAACTTTCGGTGCATCCCTAGACTAGACAGCAAATGGTGGCTATGACAAATTTCAGGAAACCTACAGAAGAGCTTGATTGGTCCATCTTTGAGGGCAGGAGAAAAAGAGAGTAGATAAAAACAAATGTTTAGAGAGTTGTAAATGACAAAAGTCTAGAAAGAGAAAGCAGAAAATGCTTATTCCACAAAAGATTGGACAATTACACTACCAGTCAAAAGTTTAGAATAATTAAGTTTTTTGTATAAAGTATTTTTGAAAGAAGTCTCTAATGCTCACCACCAAGTCTCATTTATTTGATCAAAAATACAGTAAAATTAATAAGTAACTGTGAAATATTAATATCATTTAAAATAACAGTGTCCTATTTTAAAATGTAATTTATTCGTGTGACCGTAAAGCTGAATTTTCAGCATCATTACTCCAGTCTTTAATGTCACACGACCCTTCAGAAATAATTTTAACATGCTGATTAGTGCTCAATTATTATTGGCGCTCAATTATTAATTATTGACTGGTGGAGCATTTAAGGAAACAAATAAAATCACTTTACAATAAGGTTCCATTTGTTAACATTCGTAAACTACATTATTTAACATGTACTAACAATGAAAAATATCATATAATAAAAAAATAATATTATCGCAGTTACTGTTATTTTAACATTTACTAATACATTATTAAAATCAAAAGTTTTATCCGTTGATATTATTTAATGAACCTAAACTGACAAACTAATAATGAACAGTTGTATTTTTACCTTAACAAAAATTAATACATACTGTAACATATGTATTGCTCCTTGTTAGTTAAAGCATTATCTAACGTGTTACCGAAAAAATATGATTCAAAGCAGACAAAAAATAAATAAAATCATAAATCTGCAATGACCTCCACACTGAAACACTCACGTACACATACACACATACCTGTCAATCCAGAGTTGAATATGACAGTGGGAGTGCCGCAGCCTGGGAGAGGAGGAGCACAAGGAGGGGGAGGTGGAGGTAAGGGAGCAGAGATCTCGATCGAATGCCCAGGAGGTGGAGGTGGTGGAGGAGGAGGAGGAGGAGGAGGAGGCGGTGCGAGAGCAGCTGATGACTCGTTAGAAACTACAGGAAAAGAAGAGAGAGTGTTGGCCACTAACAATAAAATAATTAACTGAGGACAACAAGCTTGAGCACGCTTCTGTAACAAAGAATGAGTAATTAGAAGAGATTGAATTATAATCGGTTTGGATATTTACACGTTTCTTTAAACAAGTGCGCCCACAAACTAACAATGTTTGCTGGCACAGTCATTATGCAGCTCTGTTGAATCACTGGTTGCAAACACATTGCTCAGCAAAAGCAGGGTAATAGAGTCAGTGCTCGAAGTGGGATGGGATTTCAACCGAGGGGGACACGACATTAATTGTTCATAAACATAGACTGTAAAAAAAAGACAAGACGACGTGTGTCAACTCCACGTTTTGGCTTCACTTTTCAGGCTTGTCCATGAACAATTCATCAAAAAATTGGCCTAAGAAAGTGTTGTTTTTTTATTATTGTTTAAATTGTTAGTTTTATATAAATGCATATTTATATGGATGCATTAAACTGACCAAAAGTGACATTAAACATAATTTCACCAAATATTGTTTTCTTAACTCTTCTGAAATTAAAACATTAGTACTGTGTTGTTTAAAAATGGATATGAACTTTTCTTTGCATTGCCCGAGAACTAAAAACATTGCATCTTTTTTTATTTTGACCAATTAAAATGACAATATTTTATTTGAAATTTGGAAGAAATGTCATCAGTAGTTTATTGAATGAATCAAAAATGTTGATTTTATTCAAACACACACCTATGAATAGTAAGTCCAAAGAAACTGACCATTTTGCAGTGGTCTGATTTTTTTCAAGAGCTTTGTTTATATGGTTGTAGCAATCATTTGTTAGAAAAAAAAAAGCGGTAACACTTTAGGGTCCAATTCTCACTGCATATTACTAGGATATTGGCTGTTTATTAGTTCTTATAAAGCACATATTAATGCCTTATTCTACATGACCATATTCTACATCCTTAATCGTACCCTATACCTAAACTTAATTATTGCTTATTAATAGTTAATAAAGTAGTTAAGAGTTTATTGAGGCAAAAGTCATTGTTAGTTGTGATTAGTGACTCTAATCTAAAGTGTGACCAAAAAAGCATTCAGAAATTGCATATCAGTTATTGGACACATCAATACAAAAATCGGTCGATCTCTGTTTAATAGTCATTTAAACATTTAGTTCTCAGGACCCGTAACTTTAAGCAACGCCACTGTTTGAACCCAGGACCTTTGACCATTAAGGCATAAAAAAAAAAAAAGTTTGGTTCTGGTTTGTTGTCAGTTGAGGTCATGGGTCGGTAGGGATTTTTTTTTTTTTTTTTTTTTTTTTTTTTTTTTTTTAGTGGCAGCAGCAAGGGATAGGTAGGGAAATTATTCAGGGCTCGACCTTAAGCCTTTTCATATGCTTGCCCTCCAAACAAGTAAATCTGTCATTCAAAAGTTGCTTGTCCGGATTTTTTAAAATTTTTAAATGTATTTATTCTGAAGCAATGTTCTCATCAGTGTTCAATCAGCTTTGATATTTAAATTGGCATATTGTAATATCTGCACCTTTGAAGGGCATCCCCTCCCCCAATCTTATTAAATGCCCTATAGTGTCGTCTTATTCTAAATAATTGAATTTATTGATCAAATTTAGGAATTTAAAATGAAAGATCAAGCATACTGTTACCCTAGATAGGGCTGATCAAATTAAATAATTTACACTGAAAAATTACAATTGCATAAAATAATGTTATGAAATTGATTTAAATGTACAAATAAGAAACATCGGAAAGAAGTATACTAGGCTACTTATAAACATAACACTAAACTGCCAATAGGTGGCGGCAGGCGGCCGTATTAATGAGTGAGTCATTGATTCATTAATTCAAACGATTCGTTTAAACGGTTGATTCATTCAAGAATGAGACAGATGAAATGAATGGGTCATTGAATCTTTGACTCAACCGATTCGGTCAAAATGCTGAATCATTCAGTAATGAAAACAGGTTGAGTGTTCCTGTGCCGTGGTTCTGCTGTGATTTTTGTTTGGAACTATTTTCGCTGCAGCAACAGAACAAAAACAGCCAATATTGCATCTAAAATGTAAGTGACTTGATTTTAACTGTTTATTGAACTGTTGTAGGAAATCAATGTCACATTTTCAATCGTGATATGGTATTCAGGAAAAATAATTGAGGCTGCTTAACACATATGTTAAAATATAGAAACTCCACATTTAGATTTTTTAGAGGCAGTATGTTGTTAACCTGTGTGTGTGCTGCGCTCATGTGTGTAGATTTCTCCTCGAGAGGCTGCGCGAGCGTCAACAGCGCACCTCACCGTCAGCAGGCTAATACATTTATTATCCACAATCGATCGCAACTTACAATAAATGTAATAAAATCAGAATCATTCTCTCGGTTTAGTGATTCCCTAGTTATTTTTTTGTTTGTTATTTATGTTCTAATCAGGCTACTTGTCCGTTCGGGCAAGTAAAATTCTCTTTTACTTGTCCTTCAAAAATCCATTTGTCCCGGACAAGTTAGACGGGCTCTGGAGATACGAAGCGCGGCAGGTTAGAGCGTTTTGGATTGCATAAAATAATAAAAGAAACGAACAAATACATGGCGAAATAAGTGGTAGACAGCAGAAGAGGGTATTGGGATTTGGGATGATTTTTAATGAAACTTGGGAGGCGGATGGAGGTTACTCTGTAATGTGGTGTGTGCGTGCCTATGAATGCATGCATTTGATTTGTATGTGTGCGTATATGAATAAAAGTGTCCTTAATGACAAAAAAAATACTTGTATATGTATTATAGTTCAGTTTGACGAACGATGTGTGAACGACCATGTAGCTGCCTCGTTTGTTTTGCTGGAGGACAGGCATCTTGCATCGCGTGCTGTACAAAAACGTAAATTATAGTTCGCCTCAGTTTTTTATTTGTGTATTTAGGCTATTTAATTTTTATTATTTCTTCCCCAAGCTCATAAAATAAATTTGGGTCGCACATAAATTGACAGGGTCGGTCGGAAACCGGAACCAAACAAATTTTTTTTTTAAGCCTAAGCCTGGGACACACCAAACTGACTTCAAGGCTACACCATCCCCATTTAAAGACAATTATGGCATTCACATTGGGCAAAACTCATATTAATTATCTTTAGTTGTAGAAAGATGTGCTCTGAACTATTACTCACCAGAGGAACATGCCATTGGAGGCGGTGGAGGGGGAGGAGGAGGAGGTGTAGCCATTGCTCGAAGGGTGCCTGTCTGGGAAGTGCTGCCAGAGCTGTATGTTGCACAGGCTCCGGCCAGGGCCATGGCATCAGGGCAGGGAGAAAGAGCCATGGGTTGAGGAGGTGAAGGCAGCGGAGACACGTCTCCTTCCCCATCTCCCTCACCCCTCACCTGGATCTGGAGACTGCCTCGGCGCTCTAGCTCATTGATTTTCTTCTCTAGCGTGGACTGCCTCTGAATGGTCTCGTCCTTCTCACGAACGATCCGCCGGAGCGTGTGAACTTGTGAGCTGGCGTCCCGGTACACAGTCTGGATTGCATGTGCACACACACACAAACAGAGAAATTAAGCAAGACAAAAAAATGCGTTAAAACATCCAATGTTATTAAACAAATTACTAAGTTTCCATAGTCATAATATTTATAGAAGTTCATGAAGTGTCAATCCATTATACGTTGAAATCTAATTACGTCCAATTGATCAACTAATACAGATTTCTATATTTATGAAATTTAAATATACAAACATGACTATATAGATGAGTTTGGCTGCTGTGTTGTTACGTTATTGGTAACCAAAATTAAACCAATTAAAAATTGTATGTTTTACACAAAATAAAGCTGAAATAAAATAGAATATAAATATTAGATGACAAACTTGAAAAAAAATGTAAGTATTGCCTTGACAACTTGCTGAAACAAAAAAAATTTAAGTACTAAACTACTAAAATTAAATAGAATATTTTAAAAACAATTAAAATGACAAAATTACTAAAACTTGAAACCTGAAAAAATACAAATAAAAGGTAATTCAAAATATTATTAAATACTATGGTAATACTTTACAATAAGGTTCATTAGTTAACATTACTTAATGTATCAACAAACATGAACTAAGAATGAACAATACATTTGTTACAGTATTTATTAATCTTTGTTAATATTAGTTAATACAAATGTTCATTGTTTGTTCATGTTAGTTCACAGTGCATTATCTAATGTTAACAAATACAACCTTTGATTTTAATAAAGTATTAGTAAATGTTGAAATTAATATTAATTAATATGAATAAATGCTGAACTATTGTTCATTCTTAGTTCATGTTAACTAAGGTGGTTAATGAATGTTAACTAATGAACCTTATTGTAAAGTGTTACCAATATTATAATAGTACATAAATAATACTAATCTAACACTGACTTGCACTAAACAAATGGGTTAAATTGACAGCCCTGTTCGTCTAATTGTTTCAAATTATTCAATTTATTGATTTTGTGCAAAAGTAAAATGTAGTATCATGTTGACAGGTTGTTATAAACCATTTGATGAGATCCAAACTGGTGGTGTGATACTGACCCGGACGGCATCCAACTCCTTGTTCTTCTGCATCAACTGCTTCTCAAGCTCCACGATTTTAGACATGGCCTCATTCTCTGTTTCTAAGAGTTTGTCGCCCATCTGCCATCATGAAAAAGAGACCGAATGAGAGAGAGGAAAGATGCTGCAGCATTCAGGCTAAAGTTAGAAGACTTAAATACCAAAAATGACTCAAATGATGTGAATTAGGAATCAGTTCTGGAAAAGACAAAGAAAAGGGTGGTGGTGTTTGTGCTTTCGCTCACATGTGAGAGATTCTCCTCCAGTTCCTCCACACGTTCAAGGGCAGCGTTTTTGGTCTCTGCGTCTTCTAGAAGCGTCCCCACATCAAACAGGTTATCCAAGTATGCCTGGATCTGTACTTTGAGTTTATCACTTTCAGTGTGCTTCAGCCTCTGTGCACAAAAACACACCCCGGAGACATGAGTGTCTGAGTGAGCGTAAAGAGAATATACTTGAGCACTTTGATTAGTTTTATACCTCTAGATAGTCATCCAAAGCAAGCTTGGTGAAGTCGTACTGGAGGTGAACTCTGAAGTTCATGTCCTCTACTGAGTGCACCACAATATTGATGAACTGCATGCACGCCACCTGAGTCACGAACAGGGAATGATGATGAGATATGACATCAGTAGTAGTGAGAGCATGAAAGTTTAAAAGGCACTCCAGAGGACAGAGAAAGGACTCTGTAATATAGACCCACCATGAAATCAATATTGTTGTCTTCATTTTTGAAGTGTTCCATCAATTTCTCAAACCTTTGGGATTCCGAGCAAACCTGAGAAACACAAAACACAAGTTATATTTTAATAACACACGGGAAACATTCAATTCTGACAGTTTGCTAGCTTTCTTTTAAATAGTTTTGTAGAAGTTCCGTCTTAAACCCTATGATTAATTAAATCTATAATGTTCATTTTATAATAATCACACAGTAATTTCCATTGTTTTTATTGCGAAAATGCAATTATTGAAGCTCAACAACTGAAATGCTGCTGCCAAACCCAATAATTAAACATTATTTTGTTGTCTTGAATTAATTAATTAACTACATAAAATGCATCAGATTAATTGATTAAATATTTGACTATTTCAATACGATGGCTACGGTTATTATGAAGGGGAAAAAAACGATTCGAATGTGCATCAGAGTGAAGTATATGTAATGCATAAATTATGGTAGAATATCCTGTCTTACCTCTTTGAAATGATCAAAAGCAGCTAGGATAATCTCATGTCCACCTCTGACCAAACACACAGCAGCTAGCAGCTCCAGAACCAGGGCTTTGGTCCTGCACAATAGAGACAAAAGGACATTTACATCAAGAAACCAAACCTGCACAAAATACTTTGTGCTACAAACTCTGATTAAAACATTCCAAGGAAAAATGTAAGACTCCAAATACAACCAATCAAGAAATCTCCAAGGGGCAGGTCAAGTGATCCTATTGGTTTTACGGTTGGCAAATTACATTGGAATTAACCCACCTATACAAGGGACTATTCATAGACGTTTTATTTAACGGCTTTGAAGGATTGTGTATCACAGTCTTTGGGAACAGTCTCAGTTGCAAACTGTTATCTCCTATTGACCTTAATCAGCACAAATGACAGACAATTCATCTATTTATAGCTAAAGTTTCCAAAGAACACCCCTTCCAAAAAAGGTCTTTGATCAAATGTAATAGCTTAACGGTTTGGATGAAAGCCTTGACAGATAAGAGGGTTCTCATCAACCATTTGAGAGGTTTAAACACAGAAACTGGAGAAATGTTTGAGGGCAATGATGAAGTCTTCAAATATATACGGGTTAATAGAAACCAGTACATACTTGGGTGTGTGTGTGTGTGTGTGTGTGGTGTTACCTGGGATTTTTGTTGTTAAGGCTCAGAGCAATTTCATTGACAGCATGGGGGTGGGACATGACCATGTTGAAACCATACTTCAGACAGAGTGTGTGATATAGACAAGGGGAAAACAAAAAGAGATTCAAATACCTTTGAAAAACCAGCTGAACAAAATTAAATACTTTCATAATCTGCTTACCTGGTAGTTCATAATAGCTCTGAGACACATGATGCAGACATGAACGTCATCTTTTTTACACACCAAACGGGAGTTCTTCAGAGTTCTGCGACTGGGCAAAGTATTAGACCTGAGATTGCAATAACACATTAAGGGCTGTCTTGTAAAAAAATCTGTTCCAATTTACAGAGTGAACACAAATGTGTTTGTTTGTGTGCGTCTACCTTAAGGAATGCCGTGTGGACCGTGGTATGCTGCTGCCGCTAACCGGTGATGGTAGATTACTGTCACCATGGAGATCTTCTATAGACCTGCTCCAGGGGGTATCTACGGAAATCTCACCTGTGGTGCTCTCTGTTACGTCTCCATCAAACCTGAGAGAGAATAAGAGTGTTGTTTAAAGCATAAACAATACACAAACTACGTGTTATTTTGGTTTCTCAAAAGTTCTACAAAACATTATGTCCTCCCAACTTCTCGTTGAGAAAGAATGCTTAGTTAAAGGAATTATTTGTTATCCGTCAAGGTAACAAATGACTTTTGTCTTCGAAATTTGTTGTATTTCACTGCTTAAATCACTTGAAGGGGGCATATATAAGGAAAACAACAATGGGCCTAAAATTGAACCTTGAAGCATACCATACTTTACAATTGTTTTGGCAGTTGTTCTTTAACGTACACACACACACATACACAGGGTATCAATCTGACAGGTAGGAACTAAACTAAACCAGGCCTGTTTATGAGTGCCAACAGGATGCTTAAGGCCGTTCAAGAGAGTGGTTCCATAGTAACCTAACCTAGCCTAGCCTAACCAGTCTTAATACAGTGACAATGTTTATGCAAGTGGCCCTTAGAGTTGCACAAGCATTACTTCAATTCCTTTTCCTTCACCTTAGGAGAGTGTTTCTCAGCTACAGTCCTGGGAACCTAACTACCACAGTAGCTATGTTTACATAGACCCCCGTTTGTGATCGGACTAGTAGCACAGTCGTAAAAAAAAAAAGAGTCATAATGTAACCACGACAATCAGAATTGGCCAAATTGGCTGTTTTTCCTGCTTGATATATATAAGCAGCACAACACACAGGTTCATGTGCTTGTCATCTTCTAATTAGGACCTGAAATAGATAAATAGAAGTCTGCTTTTTAAAAAGAAAGACAAGGAGGATGGTTAGTATGCGGCAACAGCAGAAAACTCTGTATATTTGTGCAGTGTGAGCATGTCAAAAGATCAAATCCGATTTGAAACTTGTCGCATATATATACACAAGTGCACATCAACCCCATATCTTTTTTGGGCGTACATGTAAACACTACGCTCAGATTCATCAATCGGAATGATTTCATGATCTCTGAATGAAACAAAAGGTGTCCATAAAAACATAGCTAGTGTTTTTGATGTCTCACTAAAAAAAACACCTGAATCAATTAATCAGTTTCTTAGTGTGTTGAATAAGGAGACATTCAGGGAGGTGGGTTCTGAGGACTGGAGTTGAGAAACAATGGAAGTAATGTTAGAGCTTCTAATAAAGAATGGATCAATAGTTCCCAGCCTACAGAATAAATGTAGCAGGATTAGTAGCGGACTATGGGGATTTAAACATAAGCCTGGATAAACAGATGAGTTTTAAGTCTAGAGTTTGTAGACACTAGGGCTCTAACGATATGTGATATGAAACCGAAATCGCGGTTTCAGAAAATCAGATCCACGAACGAACCTGTGTCGCGGTGTGAGAAGGCAGAATCGCGACACACCCCTTCCAACTCCCAGAGATATCCTTCCCGTCCAGATCCAATGCTACCATCTCTTTAAAGTACTATTAGTAGGGCTGTGCCGGTGAACTTGACAACCGCACCACCGCGGTGGCTGAGTATCGTTACAGCCCTAGTAGACACCCATGCCACATTTCAGTAGACCCTGTCATGCCTGGATTCAGCCCTGGCTCAGCATCAACCCACACTTGAACTTCAGCAATAATACATTTAACTACTTATTAACTGGCAAATATTATGAAAAATACTATGTGGCAAAATTAACGTTTATATATATTTTTAACCTGACATGGCATCTTAAAACTAATCATATCACAAGATTCTGAAATTATTCTAATTGTATTCTACCTTGCTTTCACACTGATCTCAAAATACACCTTACACATTCCCATCCATCAAACTCTGTCACTGCTAAGAGGCACTAATTTAATTCATCACTCCCATTCATTTGTCAGAAGCAACTGTGACCCAGCAGTGAGGTGAAAGGATTTCAGCAACAACAGTCGACTGTTGTGACAACCCCTACTTATTTCAAGGTGTTCTGAGATGGTAAGTGAGCAGTAAGCTTAAACCAAATATAAAAGTTAAAAGAAAACAAAAGACAGCAGTAAAGACAAAAACTGACTCAAATTAAGATTGACAAGAAAAAGGAACTACTTACGTTACAGCATACTGGGCAAAAGACAGGTACTCCACCAGCACATCAAGGCCTTTATTCTCCTCATTGAGAAACTCTCTCACCCACCTGTGAAGAACAAAACATTTTAATAACCTGTCCTTTTCCCAACTGAATTCCTCGAAAGCCTGAAAATGAACTTAATTGACTGGACTCACCCGATGTGATTGGTCCTAAGAGATATCTCCAGCTCTCTGAGCACCTGAGTTGACTCCTGAACTCGCCTCCTAAATTTCTGTGAAGAAATAGGAAGAGATGTCCATTTCTGAGCAAATATGTACTAAACTTGGGTGGACAGTTGTAAAAGCCAGTCGCAGTGTGAAACAATTTGCATACAAGTTTAAATGTGACACTTCTGGACTTATATGATGATCCCCTTTGTGAGGCAACCCTTTCCGAAAATATCAAGGCAGGTACATATTTTCATGTGTAAGACTCATTTGTAATGTGAAAAAATGTTAGCCTGGATGCCAGCTGAATTTAGCCCCGCCCACAACATTTGAGGTCATATTCTGACTAGAATCTGAGTATGACGATGTCAGGCTAGTTAAATATATTTAATTGTGTGTAAATTATTTACTTTGAATTTTTTCTTTTTTTTCCTTTTGTAAAATAAAAAAACGCTGCATTCTGAGAGCGAATTAGTTGAATTTTTAAGTAATTAAAAAGATTAAAGCACTGAAACCAGTTAATAAGTTATAAGTAATACATTTTTTAATTTCTAAAGGGTTATGTCAACTTATTAGGAAGTAAATATTTTACATTTATCTATTTTTTTTAATTGCTATATTTTATTAATTTGTTTTACATATTTTCTTGAGCTTGATGATATTGAAAATAATCTTTTTTACCCACCCAACAGTACTTTTACACATAGACTTAAAAGAAAACGTATCAATTTTTTGGAAAACTTTAGGTTATTTATTATTATTTTTAAAATGTATTCTAGAGATTAAAATTAACTAGATTAATCGTATTTTTTCGGTGATTAATCGCGATTAAAAATACGTTTTTAATATATTTTATAATGTAATTACTTCAGAGTTATCGGTAATGTAGAAACAACATAAAGACGTACTGTTTTATATACTTGTTTAATGGCATCTTTTCATAAATGAAGGCCAGTATTTCTGATATTAATACAACTACTGATGTCTCGATGGAAATTATTTGTTTTTAAACACCAATTATAGCCATTTAACATTACAGTGTAATTATGCAATACATTGCAATCCTGGCATCACGAATGAGTCAAGGCTCATACCTCTTTCCCTGTGATTTCTTGCACAGCATATACAGAAGAGAGACATAACTCTGATGTGCGTTTAAATACATCATTAACAACTTGTTGTCCAGTTCGGTTCCGTACACACTGCATTGAAATTTTGTATATGGGTTTGTCACTACCTGCATTTTTCAGGAGTTAATTTGGTTCTAGAATGCGGTTGTCACTCCTGTAAATTACTGAACTGTGTGAACAGAACAGGATTAAGCTCTAAAACTTTTGTTGCAGTGTGTACGTGCCCTTTTAAATTCAATAAGGGCTTCTGGATGGGACATTAAAATTAAGAGTTTGTGGTTTCTTCCATTACTTCTTCCATTAGATGCAGCTGTAAAATATGCAGGAGACATTTCTCTTTGTAGCTTTTGTCCTTCTGCATACACTCAGACTTATTTTGCATACATTTTTAATTCAAGGCATCTTTACACATCCACACGTCATACATGCTATCTGCAGTTTACTCAAAAACTTCCAAGTGCCTTGAAGGACACAATGATTATCATCCCTTGCAGAATTTTGGATACCAGGCCTAGATCTTTAAATCTCAGTGGTCTATTAATATGGCAGATGAGAAGACGTGGAGGCAGCGTGTGTAACATGAAGGAACTCACCTTCCTGGTAACGGCAGGGTCCAGAAAGCTTCTGAGCTTCTGAATGTATGTATGGGGAGGATTCTTCACTTGGAAGCGCTCCTGTTAAGACACACAAATGATGCTATATTTCTATTATTTATATTTAACACTCCTCATGAAGCAAGTTCAAACTTCAGCATAAAACATTTACTAAGCAAACCTCCTCTTCTGTTCAGTTAGCCTCTGATCTAATTCCCAATCATTCAACTCCTCATGGAGTCTCACTTGCACCCAATCACTTCTGAACCCCATTTCAGCCTCAAAATCATCATGGCAATCACTGAGATATGATCATTCATTCACTCTTTCACCTCGACAAACATTTCCAGAGTCGGCCATACTCTCCTTCTCTTACGTCAGTGTAGCCATGGTGACATGATAGGGTGGATGTAGAGAGAATGTATTAATAAAGAATCTGTTTACTTAGTGGTGCTGTTATGATAAAGGAACTTTCCACTGTGTATATACACTTCAGGATGATTACATATTCTGCACTCATTTTTAGCTTGGATCAATTTAAAGTGTTACAGACTTACAGGAACTGCAACAAAAATAACATTTTACCAACTTTACAAACATTGACATACATTTAAATATGCTTTCTGTTATTTAGTGACAGATAATAAAATAAGATATTTGGTTGATTGGAATCATTCTTGCAGTAAAGTATGCTAACAGGAATCAGAACTAAAGAAAGTGAGGGGTCTCCTCCTGGGGAGAGAAACAAGAGATCTCAAGTATATTCCAGTGGTTGTTTATATAATCGGTTGACCAGATCACAAGTGTCTCTTGACTTTTTCCATTGACTAAAAACCCAAGAAACCACAACAGAGCACTTAGTAGGACTAAAAAAGCTCTTGCCACAAAGGGTTCTTGTGATATCAAGATCACATTAAAAAATACAATTACACCGAACATTGTATACACATGGTAACTGGAATTTTGTTATAGACATATTATATTTTAAACTTTTCAAGTCAAAGTGGGTTTAGGGGGTCGTGTCATTTTTGAAATGGAACAGTTTATTGAACACAGACAAAATCTAAAAAATATGTTGTTTTTTTTGTTTTGTTTTGTTGAGTATCATATTTGGCATACATCAGGCTTTGATGGCTCATATAGTATGATATAAGAAAATATGAAGCTCGTAGAGGAGGGGGGTGGACGACACTTCAGAGCCAAAAAATAAGCAAATTGGTGCATTTTCTAATATTTGTATGGCCAAAATTAAGATGAAATTCTAATAGCTTGTAATGTAAATCAATGAGATCTTTATAGCAGACTACTTTCATGAAATGCATATAAATATCAGTTTTCACTCTGTATCTCCAAATAATGTCTCCGTAAGATGGATTCAAATGCTTAGTTTTTATTATCAAAGCTCTGTAGTTTTTATTACGGGGGCAAATGTACAAATAAACGTTCCCCAAGAGCCTGATGTATCATATTTGATACTCACATAAAAAATAAAAAAAATAAAGTAAACCTAAGTTGATGAAGTGTTCATCTTAAAATATTACTAACAATATAAAACTTAATCTTAACTTTAAAAAAAAATCAGTAAAGATTTCACAGCAAAAAAAAAAAAAATAATACAACCTTGAAAGAGGACTTTTTTTTTTTTTTTTGAATTATACCAAAAAAAACTTGAACTTGCAAAAAAAAAAAAAAAAAAAAAAAAAACATCAATCAGACGACAGAAGGCACGGTAGGTGTGTTACAGGTTTTTCAGCAAAGTTTTGCAAACATGTTGATAATTTAGAGGCCATAGAAAGTTGCGCATCAAATATAAGGCAGGCTTTATAGGGTTAATATTGGGTATAATCAATAATACAATTTTCTGTAAAAAAAAAAAGAAGGTTGCAACATGCTCTGACTATTAAGTAGGGGAGTAACGGATTGTGTACTTGATCTGTACGGACCAGGCCCCACGGTTCAGCTGGCATGCGATTCGCAAAATAATTGCAAAGTTTAACCATCATAGAGTGAAAGTTTATCATTTGCAGAGGTTTTGTTTGCCAATTTACACATTCAAGTAATTTTAAAACATTCCAACACAAGAAGAAGCGAAAGAGAACTCAATTCGGTACTTGCTCTTTTTTATTTGTGCGCACAGATTCCTCTTTCGCCTTGATCTCTTGGCGCTTAAACGGACATACACACAAAATGATGTCAAAATACCCATCTCGGCAAGTATTCTCGTAAACACAGTCGGTTATGTCTGAAGAGAACAAATCTGGTGTGTATCAGTACATTGGATCCGTGCATTCAGTCTTAAAGTGACAGCAGCCTATAAATACAGGCTGCTGTCCATGTCTTTAATGTTAATCACACAACAAAACAGCTTAACAAATATTTATCTATATTTAATTTACACAGTGAACACTATAGTGTTATTTTACATTTAATTATTACATTCCTGAACCTGAATACTACAGTTAGACCTTTATTTGTAACTTAGCTATATTGTATCTATCTATGCTTGTAATTAGTGTAGTTTTTTTACTGACTGTTCACTTGTCTTTAGTAATGTTTGAACTTGAGTTAAGCTGTTAGTTTTGGCTATGGTATCAAAGTACTTGAAGTGTGCTTTAAGTAATGAATGAAAAGCAAAGTTACACTGCTCCCTCACCCCCATTTGAATTGTTTGCTTATCCGAAAAATGTTGTACCTCAAAAACTGTAATGATCCGAATGATGTGTTTTGTGATCCGTTACTACTATTAAGATGTGGTTATATAACGGTTATATAAAATTGCTTTCTGGCTTTTTAGAGACTCATTATGCAGAATGCATGGAAGCAGACTCTCTCACCTGATCACATATCAGCTCCCATTTTTTTTCATTGTCATACTGTCTAAGAAGCCTCACTTTATCCGGAGGAAGGTTCATAGAGTTCTGAGGAAGAAAGAGAGAGGAGTTAACATTCTTCTTTGTCATGCATGGAAAGTTATTCTTTGCATACCATGCTCATCAAAAACACCTGAGACACCATGGATTGTTCTTTACAAGTTGTTCAAAAACAAAAAGTCAAAAGCAGTGGATAACTCGTTTACAATTTTGTCCAATCCGTCTAAACAGTTTAAATATCTCCAGAACAGAAACATTTATTCTCTGCAACTTCATACAGAATATCATGAGCATAAAAAAAAGGAAAGAATTTAATCAAAATGCCAGTGCCTTCTTCAGACTTGTAGATTTTTGAAAAGGATACCCAGTATGAGAGGGCCTTTCACACCAGGTAGTTATAGGAGCTCAGTTATAGAAACTAGCCACTAGGTCGGTCCCCTGAGAACTAAATTTTCCCGGTTGCATTTGTAGCGCCAGTAGAATCTCTAAAGTGATGTAAACCGCTAGACGGCGACATCATTTAAGCGCGGCATTCAACAACGTCAACATCTGGTGGACAAGAGGACTCCATGATCAGTTGAGATGTGCCTGGACTTTTGGGGTTGGTTCAACCATCGCTGATTTCCATGTTTGTGGAGTAAGTATATATAGACTAAGTGTTTACATGGCTTTTAAAATCGTATGGCATGCGTTTGGACCATAAACTTACACTTACATCACTGGCAGTTCCTATTGTGCTGGGTTATACCCTACTCTCGAGTAGGAGCTAATTTGGTCTCCCTAAAAGACATTCCTATAACTAATATCATTCCCAGTATGCCAAACACTCCAAATAGCTGGTACATCTGCAATAGTTATAGGAACTATAAACACCCCTATATTTTCTATCCACCATAACAATTTGAGAAAAATGTCTTCTTAGTGGTTTATACATGCATGTTACACACTTGGTCCATACACTTATTTTGTACAAATATTAAGTAATATAATGGATTGATAGCATCAGTTTAATTGATTGCATGAACTTAAATTACATTTAAATTAATTTAATTGAGTCCATCAAAGATAACCAACTGAAACTAAGTTCATCATGTCTTTTTCTTTCTTTTTACATTGTTCTTCTATTTGGGAAAAATAGCCCAAGTTCGACTAGATGATAATGAGAGAATAGCTGATTCCAGTGGAAATCAAAGAGTCTGAGCATCAAATGACAACACAAGAGCAACGCACAACATCTGGAAGAGGGCGAAGAGACTTGGGCGGCAAAAGTCAACTCTATTGGGACAGAATTTGTGATGCAAATCTGTGAAAACGAGGCAGCATTAACCGATTTGCATTCACTTCCCCTGCTCCATTTCTCCTCTCACAGACACGCCTACACACATGCACGATGCACACACAGCAAGAAGCACTATGCTGATTTACAGACTTTTGACTTGGACTCTCAATGCACTGATTAGATCTGGACTGTTCTGAGGGAAGGTCTCTAATGTAAGCAAACGACATGTGTCTGTTTGGAAGACAATGAGTAAATCAAATCAGGGAGATAAGTAACAGATGACCAATTTCTAAGTGCATTGATTAAAGACCCTTGAGAACCTCACATGTAAAGCCTGTCAAAAGAATGCGGTTTTGAGTAGTCACATTAATCAAATCACTGTAGATACAGACATGAACAGAACCAGCTAATATTAAAGGGAAAACAGGTCATGATCAAAGTCAAAGGTAGCCTACACTTTATTGATCTCAGAGGGGAAATATGGGGGTCTCTGAGGGGAAATGTGTACCACTCCTCCAAATGTTATTTTAATAGACTGCAAGCTGGATTCTGACGAGAGAATTATATCACAGAATAGATAGCATGCATGTCCCTGGAGACATTATCTTGAAGAGCCATTCATGACAAACTGATTTATTTCAGACCCCATCACAGACAACAATCAGACAGGTTGTGCCAATGGATGAAATACCATGTTAACACTGTGGCTCTATCTGTATATAAATAAGTGCGAGTAGGCCACTTTTCATTCCACACGGGTCCTAGTACCTAAAAGCAATCCTATTTAAAAGCAAATGCAGGGAATACGGTGGCCTACAGAGCACGCTGCGATGACTGGATTAAGGGCAGACTCCTTGAATCACTCCTTGAAGCATAATCACAGCAATATAAAAGAACGAGTCCAAGCTCACAATTCTGATGACGCATAAAACAGACCAAAAAACCCAAAGGATTCCACAATAAAGGGCCGCGCGCGCCTGTAATTAGTAGCTATCATGCACGCGCAAACAGCATCAAAGCATTGCACACTGCCAACCGCACACAATAGAGGCGTGTGTGCTGGCGTGAGCTGCCAGCTTCCATACTAGTTGTGCACATGACACGATTACATAGATATATGCCTTTTCTCAATTTCAGGATAGGAAAGAATATTACCAGTGCGATTGCAAATCTCTCCTCCAGTTCGGCCGGGTCCGGCATGGGCAGTTTAGGGGGTTTGTTGCCCCTCGCCCTGAAATCTGTGAGCTGAGCATCCATACTTTCAGCGTTCCCCATGTTTTTTTGTTTTTTTTTGTCTGATGCCCAGCGACGGTAAACCCGTTCGAAAAACGTATTCAGCTCCCAAATGTAATAAAGAGGTAAACAAAAAAAGCAACCAAAAAGATAAGCAGGCTTTATAGGTGACTAGACACAATCTCCATCGATGTAAACACGCAGAGCTCAGTATCAGATGAGAGACTTCGACAATAGCATCCCTACATTGTTAATCCGTATCTGTCGGGCCCTCTGCTCATTTTTTTGGGAGCTGTTGAGCATCGTTCACTCAACAGCAGCGGGTCTGAAGCTGGGCGCATTTATCTGTATCATGCACAATAAACGCACCGCTGGAGGTTTGCGGCATGATAACGCGCATGGCTCGGACTCAGGCAGGCCAGTTAATCCGCGCTGTGTGGATGATAACAGACGTACTTCGACAAAACGCAAACTCCCCCATTCAATCCCCGACACAATGAAGCCTTTCAGCACCAATCCCCCGCTGGGGAGTGCCAAAAAGCCATGCTGAGGAGTCGAGGGGGAGGCAATGTTTTGTTCTGTTGCATGCTGGTAGTTGTAGTTTTGGACAGCGTTTGAATTGCCGTTTATGTACAGCTGTGATATTATGGATTTATTGTAAAGCTCTAAAATACGACTCAGAAACTACACGTGTTTTTATTATGTTATGATTCTGTGCATTTTTCCCATTTATTTTCCCATTTATTTTATTAGTCTACTATTTTTAGGTAAAACTTTATTTTACAGAGTCCCTGATACACATCTTACTTATATAGGCTATACTTAGGGATACAATAGTAACAAATTATGCATCATTACAAGCAACTAACTCTAAACCAAGCCTTAACTATATAGTAGCCTAAGTAAATGCTGTTAAATCTGTTAACTAGTAAATGTTGTTAACAGAGTAATACTCTACATATTTGTTTAACAAGAGCACCTTAAAATAAAGTAACCTATTTTTATTTTACATTTTAGATTCTTCAAAATAGCCTCAATTTCAGTTCATAACAGATCTTCACATCCTGTAAGTAATGGTAAAGAATGAAAAAATGATTTTATAGTATGAAGTTGCCTTTAATTACTGATATGTTTTTTTTTAATTAATTAATTATTGTTATGTTTTTGTTTTATAAGTTTCAATAGGTAAACAGGTCAATATGTATGCTTTTATAAGTGTAAAATATCACCTATATTTTTAGTTTTCTATAGTTTTCTATTTTTGTTATCAGTCGTATATGTTAAAGTTTACACCATTATTTTAATGTGGTATTATTTTAATCACCATATGACCTTCCATTGTATCACCTATGTGATTTTATGGTAACAAACTGATTTTAATAGCTTAAATAATTTGGTATTTATTAGCATTATCTAAATAATATAGCATTTATTGAAGTAAATTGCCTCTGTCATCATCTGTTTTTTTCCCTCTAAAGTCCTGAAGGAATCCTGATTCCTCTCCAATAATTATAAGTTCATTAGAAACCAGAAGTAAATGGACACCCCCTCGTAATTAATGGGTTTAACATACAAAATTCCAGGGAAGACAAATTGTGGCAACAGTTTTGGGAGGGAAAAGTGGGATATGCCATACAACGGATATTTCTTAACAAACTAACCCCCAGTTTCACAGACTCTAAAGCACAAACATAAGATTATTCTGTTGTAGCTAACATACAAGTCTTTTAATTGTAGCAAGTTTTACATGGTTTATTGTTGGACCATGCTGATCCTTCTTTTGCAAGCTGATGATACAGTAGATGACCTGGACTATGATTTGGATTATGATTATGATCTCTCCATGTCATTCTCGCACTCTCACTCCATACATGCGTCAAAGTAGCCAGAGTAACTTTTCTCTATTGATATGACGAGACATGCACAGGCCAGTGACGTATACGCAACTTCCTGCAAAAACCCTCCTGAAACATCTCAAATATAAACACTTGTTTAGTGAATCAGGGTAAGACAGAAATACATTTTAGAAGAAGGATTAATGCTGTATTAAAATTTGGTTAATTTGGTACCTTCAAATACTTGTGCCGTGCTTTGAACAGCCTGTATAGAAATTGCAGCACTCCATGTCATTAAACCAGTTTTACATAACTAATTCTGACAAACAAACAAAATATAAATGTCACAAAAGCACAGAGGGGAAACACTTTATTATGACCAGACAGTGTTTAGATAATCACTGCCAGTTATGCTGAATAAACCTAAACTAACATACAGGGCCACTTAGATTTGTTGATTTGTTTCAAGTTATGATATGCTATACTTCTGATGTGATGGAAAATTTAAAGCATTAAGTGAAAAAGGAAAAAGAAAAGACACAACAGGCCAGAGTCTTAATTCTATGATTAATTGATTCTCAGAGAATAGTGCAGACACTCAAAGGCAGCAGAAGCCTGTACAGGCTCATAAATATGTAATGAAGCTTTGTATTGCAGGTTGCAGCACAAAATTCACCTCATTGTTCTGTCATGCAAGTGAATTAGATAAAAAATGCTAAATGAACTCAAAGTGGAAACAGCACAGACAGTCCTTTGTATTTGAGGAGTCTAATGCTCCTCAACTACACCAACTACAGTTTCTAAATGATTGACTACATTCAATCATTTAGAAACAATAATTCTTATAACTATTAAATAAAACATAGTAATATAATCATTAGAAAAATGCCAAAAATAAAAAAGTTATCTTCATAACTTATGAAAATATCTTCATACAGTAAGGTCTCCAACAGGATTTAAATTGTCTTCATATTGATATTGACACCATAGACTAGATAAGTGTCATTTTTAAAGCAAAGTCGTGTTTTTACCACTAGATTGCACTGCAGTGCAGACTTAAAGGTCCAATATGTAAGAATTTTGTAATAAAATATCCAAAAATCACTTGCATAGTGTGATATATGTCCTGCAGTTGTGTACTTACAATATCCCAAAAGTCTCCAAAGATTTTTTTATTTCAGAGAAATTCCGATTTTAAATAAGTGGCCGTCCCGGAAAAAAATGTCGCCTGTCAATGACGCAATATCCGCGCTATATTCGGTTTCCGCTCGAACTGCCATAGCCATGACGAAACCATGGCGACAGACATGGACAACTGCGTAATGCGTAACGTTTAGCGGCACAAAGTTCTTGTTTCGTTCAAACATAAACCATGGCAAGCAGACTTTGGGACAAACAAGGAGAACTAAAATGGGGATCGTTTTGAGCGTTTTAGTGGCGTTTTTGAGATGCCGAGAGGTCCACGTCCACGACTAACTTGGACTCGACAGAGCTTCACGAGTCACGACTTGACAGCTTTATTAGACAGGTGAGCAAATGTACATAAAACAAATCAATGTTAACGTTAGCTCAACATGATGACATGTTAGAATATGGCGTACGTTATTCTAATCTTGATCTAGCTGATAGTTTCGTATAGAAAACGAACTAACACGTAGAATAACATTATAACTTTCAACACACATTTAAATGCCGTTTAGTGTGATAGTAACGTTAGACCAAGTGAAACAGCGCTGCGTTCCCTCACAAGTTTAATTCGTCTAATAAACTGACCTGTGTGAGTAATTCAGCACTTGCGTGTAGTTCTGTAGAATTAAATGTCCTTATTCCTTTATATCTGCGGCACTCGCGTGTGATATCTGTCTCTTTAGCAATCGCGACCTGCTTCATACCACTGTAATGTTAAAAAACATGAGTGTTTTCACTCATCCATAAACATTATTAGATCCATCAGCTTGACAGCAAGTCCCATCATTCAGCTCGTCACTGCGTCATCAACCTACGCCTTTGTTATTGTTGGAAACTGCGCCCTATTGTGGCCAAAAAAGCTACATATTGTACCTTTAAAATGTGCACACATTTGTGTACTGACTCACAAAAAATTACTGACATAGAGGATATCAATGTAATGTGATCAGTCCGATAAAACAAGCGGTTTTTTTTGTCCAGGTGTCCCAACATCAAAGGGTTGCTATATGGTTGTCATATCTAATTTTGCAGTCCCTTTTGGTAAAACAGTTGGGATCATTTTCTGGACAGAAAGACACAAGCAGGAATGTCTTTGATCTCGGCAAACAGTTTTACTCAAAAACAGTCTAGCTTTTTTCAAACTATTCTAGGCAGTAAGAAGAAACATAAAGAAGAATCGAAATTGTATAAATGTTTAAGATATTCATAGTTTCTGTGGTATTAAGCCACTCTCCTCCTCTTTCTCACACCGTCCATCATAATACACTTCTGTTTCCATCTTTATTCAGTCCTCCTCTCCTTCACCGTCTCCGTCTCCTTCCTCCTCCTGCATAAACTCCACCAACAGTTCAGCGGTGCAGGAAGCTTCTCCCAGGCTGTTGACGGCTTTGCAGGTGTACTTGGCATCATCATCGGGGCAAACCTCCGAGATCACCAGGCTACAGTGGCCGTCCTCTTCATAGTCGATCTGGAAGTGACGCGTCTCCTTAATAGGCTGGTCGTCCTTGTACCACACTATCTCTGGGTCTGGGTACCCTTTGAGTTCAGAAAATACAGTAAATCAATATTAAATCATAAAAATGCTATCAAAGCCTTTGGCCTACCAATGATTAACATAATGGCATAGGTGGCCTTTGCAATTCGGAGGCCCGTTTTAAAGAAACAGTTGAAGGCCCTTTTTTATGAGAAAAAAAGACAGACAAGCATGTCATGCAGTGCTACTGCAATTACTTTATTATCTATTATTATATTCAACAATGCTATCTCATATTTCACTCGTAATAGTCTATTATAAATGCATTCTGCCACCACTATCTACGCATTCTATCTTTTTAACCCTAATGAAATGAAACTTTAAAAAAAATATGAAACTAAACCGCCAGTAGGTGGCGGCAACTCATTGTCTTAACGAGTGAGTCATTGAATCATTCATTCAAACGGTTAGTTGAAAATAGCGGATTCATTCAGTAAGGAAACACCACTGTGTTGCTCGTAGACGCGCAATGGCTCTGTTATGGATTTGTTTGGAATTATTCTCATTGGCGAAATAGAGCAAAAACAATATTCTGAGTCTAAAATGTAAGTCAAGTCACCTAATATTAGCTTCTTGTTTATTGAACTGTTGTATAAAATAAATATGACATTTGCAAACGTGCTGATATCCGGGAAAACAGCACTCTTGCTCGTATGATATTGCTGAATAGCTATATTCTTTATAAATATTAAAAACAAGAATTAATCCTCAAGAACGGCGTGATGGCAGGGGGCAGGGCTCTTTTTCAGGGGGCAGGGCTCTTTTTCAGGGGGCAGGGCCATTCTTTTGCAAGTCCCATTTTAAGTGAAACAGGTGAAACATAACAAAGGCCGCTACTGCTTGGAGCATTTAAATATCAATATATGGAGTGGTGTAAACGCTATGAATCATACCCAACTCTGATTTGTTCATTTTCTGACTGATGATGATCATATCTCCACCCACATCTACAAGCTTTCTCATTGTGTGTTTTCTTTTGA